ATATATATATATATATATATAATTTATGCAAAAGTGATTCGAACCAATTTTTTTCTTCGAGCTGCGCAGAGAAAATGCGCGTTTAACACGCAGTTCACATTACCTCTACAGCAGCTCCACAGAGAACAACCGCCTTCTCGACGCCTAAAAAATTGAACATTTGCTATTTAAAACCACAACAGGTTTTCATCTACATTATTACAAGACCTAGTTAAAACGAAAAGGTTCCATTGGGGAAAATAATATCTATCATCGATATTGGAGTTTCGCGATGCAGTTTCTTTATTTGCAATTTTTTATATTATCAAGTTCGCTGGAACTCGGACCTATATTTTAAGTTTCGATTTCTGTAACCAAGGAAAAAATAAAGAAAAAAATTCGGGTCGGTTTTGAGACGTTTTTTATAAGTTGCATTGATTTTAGGCAAAAATTTCGAGAAAACAGTTTTTCTAAATATTATACATGACTTACTTTAAAAGATATAATTTTTAGTAAGAAAAATTATCTAACATCCACACCTGCAATGTCAAAATTTTGAAATTTTGCAAAATACTAAGATTTCACCGAAAACGGGACCTGCGCCATATTAGGCGTCCATTGCTCTGTCAGAACGAAAAAAATTGGTGACATTTTAGGGAAAATAATTGTTATTGAGAAGTATATGTTGATATAGGGGGATTCTTTATATAAATATCAACATCTGTAAAACGTCCGCAAAGATGGCTCCAAAGTTTTTCAATAAATTTTCTCCTCGGAAAGCGGAATGAACGCTTAAAACAACGATGCGGGTCTCATTTTCCTTTAAATATATGGATTTTTGAAACTTGGAAAATTTAAATTTTCTGCAACTATCGTCATCCTTCAACCAAATCAGTAATGATGTAAATTTTTCTTCACAACAGCCGGCCATGTGCATTTTTACAAATATGAATAGTTTTCGAGTAATTGTGCGTGAAATAGAGGAAATTATCTTTTCTAAAACAGGTTCAAATTTCTTTGATTTTTTTCTTAGATACAGCTGTATTTTCTAAAATTGCGAAACATTTTAACGTAAAATGATAACATTGATTATAGAGATGTTTTCACTTAATGAAATAAGTTCTTTAAAACTAGTTTTGAAATTGAGTTAATGAAAATGTCTGAATATTTAAAAATTGTAATTACTTCTTTGAAAAAGAACTTGTTTGAAGAGCGTTGGAAATGTTCAGTTTAGCTGGGAGCACTGTGGTGAAGGGAGAACGTGAATGACGTGGGATTCTATGGACCTGGGTCCCAACCGCGAGGCGGAGAACATTTTTGATGATTAAAAAATGCTGCAGATTCGTGTATTATAACACTAAATAGTCATTGCAGAGAATGTCGGGGAGTTTTAGCACCACTACTTTCGAATTACAATTGATCTCACTAACGGCCTAATGGCACGGAATTGAACGTCAGACATTAAAACAATATCGATACTATGTTTTTCCCGTAACTTCTTCCAACAAAATTCTCACAATATTCGGTAAACAGCACAATTGATATTGGGTCGCTTTAGATGAATTTCCTTATTGTATGTTAAATACTTGTGCGCCTATTGTTTCACACCGATCGTTTACACGACATACACATCGTTTCACACCGAACTTTTACACGACATACAATGTATATTTATGTTCTGGTGAATTTGTAGATCTATTCAAGAGTTCAGATCAGACTAAGAACACTTCCAAATTCACACTTGCGAGTTTTTTTTTTAAATACTGTACTGAAATGAAACTTTCTCAGAAAAAAAAAGTTTTCAAATTGCAAACACGCGTTTAGAAAACCAACATATACGGAATCAGTCATATTTATCCTTAAAAATATTTTCATAATCGAGTATGATCGGTAGGTCGTAGGGTTTCAGACATGAGAGGGGCGAATTTTCGACTGCTGCCTCGAATTTAGCCCCCTACCTGGAGGAGAATCGTACAGTGCGACTTCGCAGATCGTCAATTTTCCGTGGTTTCTGCGATGAAAACCAGAAGAATAAAAAAGTAGTACCCTAACAAACGGATCAGAGACCGCACGCGATGTTCGCTTTCTCATCCTTGCCCTCTCCTCCCGTTTCTCTCATATATGCATGACACTACCACACATGTCGGGCGTTCAGTCGGGAGCTTAGAGCCCTTCCTACCTCGGGAGGAGCGCCTATGGGGAGATACGAAGAGGAAAAAAACCTCGCAAGCAGACGTGCAGGTCGTCACAGGAAATCACCAATGGGGGACAAACACCACCCTTTTATGACCAACCACATCACACTAACGGGACTAATGACCAAAGTAGTTGATGCGCCTGCAACTTACTACATACTTCCTCACTCTTTTCTTCAAAATGTCGCTCCATTTCTAGATTAAAATGAAGTACCTATTGTCATATCTTTGAAAGCATTCGACGTCATTGTTAAAAATTTTGCTTTCAAAATTACCACCGTAATGAACTCGTAGCATTTTTGAAAATTGAATATTTTCGTACCTTAAACATTATTCTCACAGAATAGAAATAATTTACTCAAGTGATCAGACATTATTTTATCACATCTCTGATTCATTGCCTATT